GTTCAGACATTAAGTTGCTCTGTATTTGTCTTATTTTCTATTCTTGGACAAGTTTTTTTTTTTACCAAGGTTATACTGATGTCATAAAATGAGATGGATAGAATTTATTTTCTGAAGTAGTTTGTATAATAGAGAGTTTATCTCCTTTAGTGTGATGCATTTGTAAAACCATCTGGGCCTGCTGTCTCGGGATGGGGTATTGGTAGGGATGTACTTGTGATGACATTTTACTGGCAATTCATTTTCTAGAGTGGCTATTGTTTTCTTGAGACAGCCTTGATTCTTCATTGCTTACTTAAATTATCATTCATTTCATCTGTTTTCAAATATTTTGCATAAAGTTTTTCATGTTATTCTCTTATAATTTTATATTTCTAAAAAAATTAGATTTGCTAATTTTATTAGGCTTCTTAAAGATGTTTTCCTTATTGTAAAAGTGAGAAAAATGGAAGCATAATAGAGCAGATCCCACTTCCGATGGTTAGTAGAGCCAGGTCTCCTAACCACCAGCCTAGGAATTTCCCCCAGGACTTGCTGCCTTGCCCTGGCTTGTGACCCTAACTCACTTTGGTTTATGCCGAGGCAAACAATGTTGTCATTTGGTTATGTTTAGGCAGAGAGAGCCCCAATATGACACCGGGTGCAAGTGTAATAGTGGGGCTATTTCTTAGCTACTCTCAAAGTTAATAGGCAAACATTGGTAGAAACCGATGACTCATCACCCAGCACGGCGCCCACAAAGGGTTTACCCGAGCCGTATTCACAGTATTTCATGAACAAAACCACTGGCCGAATGGAACCCCACCACTAACCGATGCAATTCACCAAAACAAATCCATACCCATGGGACATAAATGCAAAGGCAAATATGTTGTTCACAATGTTACCTTCTATTTGAAAGAAGAATATGTTTATAAAATTTCTAGATGTGTTTTTTAACCTGTGAATTTTTACTAGGTTTAAGATGTATCTTTAACTCCATGGACCTCAGTTTTCCTTAAAACACTTTCAAGTAAAGAGTATTTCCTTAAAACACTTTAATATAAAGAAAAAAATGTGATGATTCACTTATAGTGAAACATAATGAAACGTCTCTTTTGTGATGACAGGCAATAGCACATAATTAAGAAAAATGTTTCTGACTTCTTTCAGCACTGAAACCCTTTCCAGCAGGAGACATTTACCCATTAAAGTTCTCAATAGCAATTCTTACTGTGAGAAAATGACAATGCTATTTATTTAGCCCAAATGGAAAATATCCATAAAATTCTTTCTTCTCTTTATCTACTGCATTCAATTTGACTGTAATGTTTATAAACATAAATGGCATTTTCTCTACAGATCTTAACATATAACTTTAATTCTGAAAAATACTAACACTGTTAGAACCTGGATTGCCCAAAATAGCCAAATAATTTGACATTACCTAGTTTACTCAACATCTCCAAAATGGAATGTATTCTGTTCCCCTGCAAAACAGCCACAAAACTTTTGTTTGCTTTCCTGTGGTAGACATTGCTGGCTGGCGGTCTATCTAGTATCAATTTGGTTCTTCTTACATAGAATCAAAACTCTCTTTTCATTTTAGGGTTGTCAGAAGCCTAACTGAAGACTGCATTGCCCAGACATTCTTGCAACTAGTTAGGACCATGTTAAGATTTCTGGATGATGGATAAGGCCAAATGTGCAGGTTAGGCTGCTGGGAAAGTTCTTTAAACAGGTGTGCTTTTATCCTCTTAGTCCAATTTTTATTGGACTCTTTTTATTTCCACTTTGAACATTGTGATAGCTAGAGCTCTAGCAGCCACCTTGGAATGCAAGGGAAATTCTAGAAATGATATACTTGGAGTCTTGATGTCTATGGAACCACTGAATCAGCTACTCCCAAAGTAATAAGCACACATCCATTGCTCGTTAAATATCTTTGACTTGCTCTGATATTCCCTTAGCCTCAGATGCATTTTCCCCATTTTCCACCTGTAAAGGCCAACTCAGTTTGTTCCTAGATCCACAATTTGTTCCTACATCCTTGGTGACAGAATCACTCTGTGGCCTCATAGCAGGGAGTATTCGTTGCTTGTAGATCTCACCTTGCCACTGCCACCTGCTTGTGTGCTCCTCAAAGACAGCAGTTGTGGCTTTTTTATCTTAGTCCACTGCCCTCCTGTTTATAGTACCCACCACCTACTTAGATACATGGGATGGGCTCAGTAAATATTAGCCGAAAGAATGAATGTGTGTGTGTGTTTGATTCTGTGCTATGTGCGCATGTGTGCAATATGTGCATGTTTGTTTATATATGTGTGATGTGTGTGTATGTGTGTATATCTGTGTGTGTGTCTGAAAGGGATTTGAATTATTCAAGTGTGTGCAACTGAGTTATAACATATCACAAATAAAAGTTCACTGAACTGAAATAGTGCAACAGACCAAAGCAAAAGCCAAAGGAGGAACATGGTTAAGCCAGTACGAAAATTTAAAATGTCTATAACCCCAGCTGGGTAGAAAAATTTGTGATTAAGCCAATATTCATGTAATTCTCATGAATACTCATAGTGTTCACGTGGGGGGATTGTGCTTTCTGTGTGAGTGTGTGTGTATTTTGTAAAATGTTTCAGAGTGGTCATGTTGAGCTATTTTTCTATCCAATGCCCATGAAACAAAAGTGTCTATAACCTTAAGCCACCTGGTCTTTACTATTCTGAAAACAGACTTCTTATTTGCTTTTTACAATCGTGATTTTGCATGAGGACTTTAAATATCATCATCTGTTTAAATATCTCAGTAAAGATAAACTATATAATAAATGCTAGATTACGGGAACTGAAATAATCACTGTTTTATCTCTGTCTTAGAAAGTATTCTACTTGGAATGATTTCAAAAGAAGGTAGTTTATTTAAAAGTCTCAGTTGTGTGACCTTAAGCCCAAAGGTCTTAAGACAAATGTTTAATTCCAAAGGCATAAAATATCTGCATACTTATAAATGCAATGACATTTTCAACATTAACATAAGATTTGACCTTTCGCATCCAGTCTTCTGGGATGTGGTGTTTTAGCATGTTGGGTTCTTTTTCTTCCTGTTTATTGTTCAAAGGCACACCTTGAAGTATAAACTTTAAGCATACAAGCAGTTCAAACCAGAAAAGAACCCCTCAGAGCAGAACATAGCAGAGTAGAACTCAATTAAATTTTAACCTTTCAAGCTTTAAAAGATCTGGAGTGGTTTCATTTCCTCCTTGCCTAAATTAAATTGGATCCCTAAAGACACAAATAAAGATGCAAGGAAATATATTGACAAAAACACAATTACATTACAAGAATCAGGTTAAAGTACATCTTATTTATTTGCTGCAGTTTAAACATGTTCATGTTTCATAAATTGGTATTTATTGATTCAACAATAATAAAAAAGATTACATCTTTTATTTTGACAATAAGACTATGTTATAATTGGAGAAAAAATCATACAACGCTAAATTGCAACTTAAGAAAGCATAATTCATGTGATACATGAGAATCAGAATCACTCACGTCAAAGCTATCCATGATTGGCTTAATCCTAACCATTTTAAAAATATCTCTGATATAGAATGATATTTGGGAAAAAAGATTTAATGAGATCTTGCTTTAGTAAGGAAATGTTACGAGGGAATGTTTTCCTTTGATCACAAGTTACGAGGACTCAATGCTAGTGTTGAATAAGGCCAAATAGTAAAATGAGATTAATGCGGTCTCCCATTGAAGGTTTAGAAAAAGGTTGTTAAAAGAATACTGAGAAATGTCTGACTAGAAACTATTTTCAGTTATAGCCAGACTGGTTTTATACATTTCACTAAGTAAAAGATACAAAATATCAAGTTTATATAGCCTTTGAGAGCCACATCTCAGCACTTTATATTTGAAAATACTTTGAGGACAGCAATTCTGAAACATGGCATAATTTTGAGAAATTTTTAATTTGAAAATGAATGTTTAGCTATTACATACTGTGCTGATTTTGCTTGTATAACTAGGAGGTTACGAGCTATTTCCTTAGGTCGTTGGTTTTCAAATGGGAATATGCTTGTTTAAGCCCCAGAGTTTGAGATTCGCCGGGTCTGGGGCAGAGCCCGAGAATCTGCATTTCTTACAAGCTCCCCGGAGATGACAATGTGGCTAGTACGGGGATCACCACAATTTGAAAACCGTTGCCTTAGAATAACAAAAGGCAGCAGTTTTCTATCAAATTAAGACAAATAAAATATATCCACATTCTATTTTTTTTCTATGTTTTCATAAAATTGTAATTTGTGAGATTCTGGTAAAATAGTTATAAATGGTTCACAATAACTAGTTCAATTTATTTAATTTTGCTAAACAGTTGACAAAAAACCTTTTTAATTCTTATTTTTTTAAATCTTTTATATGTAAAAATAATTGGCAATTTTTTCATGTCATACCATATAATGTCATTAGTATTAGGAAAAGTTTGCATTTAAATCATTAAATTTTATTTGAAAATATGTAAGCATATCTAGTAAAAGAGATGACAAAAATAGAAAACAGTTCTTGATATGACTTTCTACACAAATAAGTTAGGGAAGATTTTTAACCTTGGGCGGTAGGGCGGGGGAGTGGGGAGAGATCAGTTTCCTTAACGTGAAGTGAGACGTTCGGAGTGGGCAACCTGTGACAGCCATTCCAGCTCCAAACCTCTCAGCCTGGACTGTGTCAAGACATTCACGCCTCTGTCACAAAGAAGCTGGTGCCCATCTGGCACGGCTAAAAGAATAACTGTGTTGGAGGAATTCCCCAACAGTCTACACTGAAGAAGGACCTTTTAGTTTGCTGGTTATTAACTAACAAAGAGTTTCAAAATAGAAAATGAAAGAGAGAACGAAATTTGATTGCCCGGAGCATGTCTTCCACCTCCTGAGCTGTGCACATGCTGGTTTGATCCTTGACCATTGATTGTAAAGACAAGGCTTTACTCCTTATGAAAATTTCTTCTTTTAGCGCTTAGATGGGCAGGTGATGTGGGTGTTGATAAACAGTGGATGGAATAAGAGTAGGCTGTGGAGATTGCTGCTGCTCATTAGCAAAATTAATAAATATCTGTAAGAAATAAGAAAAATAGTTGTTAACTTATAAGAACTCTCAACCTTTTGTCTTAACTTTTACAAGGGAGAAACATCCTCTCCAAATACTGCCCAACTTGTACGAAAGGTCACAAATCATTAATTTATGTTGCCCCCTCCTAAATCATCATAAATATGTAAATCCACTGAGGATAAAACTCCAGGAATGATAAATATTTCTGGACAATTAATAAATCACCTGGAAGTTCACCGTACCTTACGCATGGTTTGAGAAAGAAGTCGTGATGCACTTTTACATTTCTGGTACTCTTAGTAAAGCAAGTCCTTATGATTTCTCCCAAAGTTAGTTATTATTTGTTTACAGGGGAGCCCCCCAAGCCTTTTGGGGGCTGAGTAAAGTGGATAAGGGAAGGTTACTGGGGCAGGATTTAACTTACTGAATGCCCAATGTAATTATGAACTAATTAAAGTCCTATCGAATATGTATCTTGAGTGGAGGGCATACGATAAACAAATCTCCTAACACTCACCATTCTTATCAGAATTTTGTAAAGTTGAACAAGATTAATTAAATGAAATGGTGAGCTGAAGAAGCAATCTGGCTAGTTTAAAAATTAGCTGGATTAGGCCTGATGAGCAGAGCAAATGCAACCTGCTGCATCATCGAAGGTACTATACCTGTTCCAGAGTGGTTTGGTTAATGGAGTAATGCTTGATGTTCAAGAAGGTCTTATTGTTCTCTAGAACTTTGAACAAGTCGGCTAAGCATCCCCATCTTTTTGGCACATGATATTCCAATAAATTAAGGTGCTGTCCCTAAAAGCCAAAATATAAAAAAATAACAAGTATCACATGATTAGCAATCATTAAACAAAATTGATCTCATGCTACGTTTAATTGGCTGACAAATTCAGTTATGTTTTCTCAAACCACACACATAAACACCAGCTAGGGCTGCAGGTTAATTTCGTGAGCCTCCAATGAATGCTTATTGATGAAAACTTACCAGGAGGCATCTTTGATAAATGGCATTCACCCAAGTTGTGTTGCTCTTCTGCGCCCTGATATGCTCCCACCTTGCCATAAGCATGGGGAAGACCTCCTACAGATACTCACGATGTAGGCAGTTAATGTGGCCTAACAAAGGTGGATGGAGGTGCCCTAAAATTCACAATGGGACTGGGCTTGGCTCTCAGATGTCCTCACCATTATCTTAGCAACTCTTGATAAGATATTTAACCATTCTGACCCTTGTTTTCATGTGTGCCAATGGAGGAAATGGTATCTATTTTACAGGTTTGTTCAGATTGGTACTCGAGCGTGAATGATAGTGTCTTACACAGCATGGTTCTTCCATGGTAGGATTTCATTAAATGGTTGTTGTTGAAATAATCAGGGAATAGCTACTTTATGGGCTCCAACCTGTTAAAATTTATGATAAGCTACCATCATACAGTTATCCAAAAGAATTTTAGATAGTGCTTCTCCATCTTTAATATGCATAGGAGTTACCTGGTCACCATATTAAAATGCAGATTCAAATTCAGTAGGTTTGGGCCTGAGATGTTGCATGTCTAACAGGTTCCAGGGGATGAAGATGGGTCTGGTTCAGGGACCACACTTGCTCACCTCAAGTCTGAAGGGGATTATAATCCCAAACACAGGGCTCTTCTTTGAAATGAAAACACCAAGCCTATAAACCCCACAGCAAATATTAATATATGGAAGAAATTAACTTTTACAATCTTCCATCCCAAATAAGATGAGCTATGCAATGGAGGTGTGCCCGTAGAGAAGAGGGGTGATGCATGCATAATCACAGGCTGCTCTGGGCAATCCAACAAGTAGCCCAGCAGGCTTGGCATTCTTCAGAGTGGTCAGATAGTATCAGCCCTCCGTGCTATTTTGAGTAGGGAAACCTAGCCTATACTTTGCAATGAGGCCGAGATAACAGGCAGTATTTCACAGCAACATAGAATAAAAACAGAAAAAAAAAGATAAGTACATTTACAAGTTGATTTAGCCGCAAACAAAGAAGTAATTCAGAATATAAACACTACCTTAAACTGGATTCCTGGGAAATAGAGCTTCAGGCAGTCAGAAACAGGGCTGTGTTGATTGGTTTCCTTGCAGAGCCAAACTTTGACTGTATAACCATCACCAAACCTGAGAGTTAAATAAAATAAAAAACAGTTAGTATTATATTACCTAAGATGTGGAAATTTTAAGATTTTCATACAGAGGCAGGAAAAGGAAGTAACTATTCCACATTTTTGAGAGATTTTAGATTCTCAAAAATATAACATGCAGAAATTAATTGTAAGTCAATTACGCAGTTGCTGTCATTCCATTTATATTGACACAGATACTGATTTACCTTAAAAAATAATAGTCAGCAAGTCCTAGAATCAACGGCTAGTCAATAAAAGAGAGAAGGTGAAACTGTAAACCGTGAGAGTACTAAATTAGAGGAGGTCAGAGCTGGGCTGGAAACTAACCCTGAGAAGCATTACTGCTGGCCTTATTGCTTCAAGGTCTGCAGTGATTAACATGTGGCTGGGAAATGAAAGAGAATGCATAATTAATTTAGCCAGCACTCCTTTGTTTGTTTGTTATGTAAAAGAATTCTCCCAACTGTACTTCAACCCAGCCTGGGTGAGCAGGCCCCTGACTGCAAAGGAAGTCGCCTGCCTAAGAGGCACTGTTCCCAAGGGTATTATAGAGCTGCAGATGGCAGTGTGTTCAAATGACAATGCAGGTGGTTATACACATGTCCTAAGGTGCTCTCAAAGAGAAACCTCAAAGAATATAGGGACCTTCCAAAAACTATGTGTATTATTCTACTGCCTTATCCCAGGTACCCAGCATGGTGTTGGGCACATGATAGCATCTCAATAAAGATCTGTTCAATAAAAAACAAATACATGAATATACCATGATGATTAAAGTTTTTATTTATTTTGCTCACTGATGTATATATTCCAAGTACCTAGTACAGTACCTAGCACCTTGTACCAAGTACCTAGCACTGATAAATATTCAGCTTAATGAATGAATGAAACAACAAATGGCATGTTCAAAGTCTTACAATCTTACCATAGCTCACAATACAATACGATCACTTATAGTACTCATTTACGATACTCACAAAACAATCTTACAATACCTCACTTACAAAAAATTGCTGGGGGAAAATGTGTTACCCTTAAGCAAAGTTTTCCCACCGAAGGCTGACCCCTACTATATTTATGGTTGAATCATCGTTTCAAGTCTGATGAAGTTGGAGGCCCATGATTATGTGGCCTTGTTTCAGTGGCATGGATCACCCTTGTGAGCATCCCAGAGCTCCTCACCCAGGGGTTCTGTTTTCCTGCCTCCTGCATTGATTTCAGGGTGTCAGCTGGCATTTCCTCCGCAGATCTGTGCAGGGCCCCAACAGCCTTCTGTCATTTTGAGTCGCTGGTTTCTAATCTACATATGGCTGAGAAGTTGTTGAGGACATTGATAAAATGCATGGAAAGCATTCTGAGATGCACCTCTATTTAGCTATCTCTAAGAATTTTTAAAGGTCAAAAAATTGGGTCAGTACAGGAGGTGGGTATTCAGCGACCATTCCTCCTCTTCTCAGCAGTACGTGTCAGGGGCTGTGCTGCTGATTGACATGGATCGTCCCATTCGGTTTTCACCAAATCTGCCAGAGTGGGTGTGCACTTCAGTATGTCATGCAAGGAAAGGACTGAGGCCCAGACAGTTGACAGGGCTTCCCAAGGAGAAGGGCTGTGTCACTGGAGCTTTGTAACTACCCGGGGAGAGCTCTCAGCTGTGTCTGGGCATATTGTTGTGTCCTGGGCGGGGGGCGGGGGAGATGTTTGTGGATGGAGATGTGTTTATGGTCTCCTGGTGACTAACCATTCTGAAGACATGACATAATTTGTTTGCACTACTGATGCTGGGTCCTCACAGTCTGGGTTTGAATCCAGCTCCTCCGGGTACTAGTTGTGTGTCTCTGAAAAATCAGGTAAATTTTCTAACCTTAGTTGCCTGATCTAGAAAATGAGGCTAATAATGGTAGCTGCCTGGTAAGGTTGTTAGAGGAATAAATGAATTAATTCTTGTAAGCCATCAGGAACAATTTCTGGCACTGTGTAAATAAGGAGATAAGTAAATAGTGAAATTTAGGTTTTGTGCAGTATATGACCAAGTGGAAGAACACTCTATTCAGGGTGAAAAAGCTCACAATTTATTTGGGGAACTTAGAAGAAAGCAGATGCAATGATTGGAACATGGAGTGGGAGCACCGCATAGAAATATGGCGGCGGGTGGGCAGTGGGAGGAGGAACGGCTGCACGGTCTTGTGCACACCAGCACCCACTTTCACTACGAGCAGAAGCTGCAGCCCTGTGGGCATAGTTTGCTAATGAATGTTGAAAAATTCGTGCTAAACTCCAATAATTGTCTAATGAATTCTCTACAAGCATATATGCATATTAATATTTAAAATTCTTTGAAAATTAAGTGTCATTTGAAATAAAACACTTTTAGTTTTACTATGGAGAATCTGAATTACACAAAAACAAAATTAGATCACTCTTAAAAAGCAAAAATAAAAACAAACTTAAGAGAAAATAGTCCTGAAATAGATGGGCAAATTATTCAGAATCTCTCTAGAACAGTTAATAAGACTTCTCAACATAAAATTATAAAGGGGTGTCACCTTCAACAATTAAGAGAATCTTTGTAGATTATTACATTCATTATGATGCAAATATCTAATTTATATCAGCTTTACTTTCTTGTTTCTGCCCATAACCTACACATTTATGCCAAGCATATAAATTCCCTGAGGGATTTATTTGATTCCCATACTTCTACGGAATAAAAGGTTTCAAAATAGCCAAGGAGTCATTTATTTATATACTCGCTCATTGATCTAACCTTTCTAGATAATACACTATGTAAACATCATTTACATAATCAATGATTATGTAGAGAGTAATAAACAGCAATATCCGCAGATGTAGGTGCTCATAAGAAATATTCTACAACTTTTTGTGATACAGCATTTTGGTACCACAAACATTAATTGTAATGTATGTAATAAATGCTAAAATAGAAGCATGAGCAATGTGCTAGAGGAATAACAAACACACACACATGTTATTTTAAAAATCAGACACTTCTAGAGCACAAGGAGAGAGCTGATAATACTCCTGAAGGGACATTTCTGAAAAATCACTTGTCAAATTATACCAAGAGCCTGTGAAGCTTTGCATTCCTGGGCTTAAGACTCTACTTATAATTTTCTCCAAAAATTAAAAGTCAAAGGTTTATGACAAATATGTTTATTTCAGCATCAACTATTAAAAGTATCTCTACAAAGAATATGTAATGGTGAGAAAAATGCCTATTATATAATATTAATATTTAGTGCAAAATACAAAAGAGGAATTAATAGACTCAGTATGATGTCAACTATGTAAGTACATCTACATATTTTTACAAAATCAGACTCAAATAAAATTCTAGAATGGTATCTAGACAAGAGGAATAATAGTATGACTGCTGTTATTTTTTCTTTATATGCTTCTGAATCCTAAAATAATGAGTACATACCACTTTTATAGGTAAAAAGAAAAAATATAGGTTTCTAAGGTAATAAAGGGAACATGCTCATTAATGTCCCATACTCTACAACTGCGTTTCAGTTTCTGATTGCAAAATCATTTATTTAGAAACCTTTTGTCATATTGCCTCCAAAAATTAAATGCATAAAATTCTTCTTGGTGTAGAAGCTAATCTCGGACTTCAGAAAATAGTAAGATGCGTAAGCTGTGTGATATCTGTGTCAGGTGTTTATATGCAAATATACACACACTCCCTTATTTCCATCATCTGCTCCACAAGGAATCTGTTCACACACACACATCCTTCCCCACAAGTATCAGACCATGAAATGACTCTAAAAATGACCTTTCCCATCTCACAGAGCGAGAGCAGAGAGCAGAGGGCCACCAGGCCTCCTGTGGTCACGCACAAAGCTCCCATCGAACACACGTGTCACGGCACCGGCTGTGGGATATGGGCCGCCACTGCCTCAGACCACATCGGTCTCCGATGCCCACCTCCCCGCCTCAGCACACCACACCCCGCTCCCCGTGGGTCGGCCCCTCCGCAATATGCCAAATCTCTCGGCGACCCGTCCTCAGCAACTGCATGGTAATCACTTGTCTTTGGGATGCATGAAGAGGAGGCGAAGGTGGCGCTGAGGAAGGGCAGCGGATGACAGGTGAGAAGCCAGCGTTTATGTGAGCACCGGATGCCTAGCTGGCACCTCTGTTGGGAATTTCCTCATCGTGCCCGCTGGAGAGGCAGGGAACCCGAGAGAGAGGACGGAGGGCCCGAGCTCCGTCCCGCAGCCTCTGTGAGTGGGGACCCCGCACCTTATCCCATTCAATCCCCACAGGATGTTGTCTCCGTTTTAGGGAAGTGAAGCGGCAGCTCGCGCAGGTTAGGGAGCTCATTCCGGTCACGCGCTGCAAGGCGGTGGAGGGAGGCGCGTCTGCAACGCCCCAGGATCTCCCGTAACCGTTAATGCTCCCGCGCTCTTTGCATCAACACTTGCGCATCAATGAGTTCACTTTATCCTTACAGAGACCTGCATGCTGATTGGAACAGATAGCATTTCCTCTTCACAAAATGCAAAACGTTGAGGCCCGAAGAGCCCAGGACATTTTTTCTTTGTCACTCAGCTTATTCTCCAACAGACTTGGAACCAACTGGGGCTTACTCCACAACCACCTGTCTCGGTCCCAAGTACCTTCATTGTTTCAACTTCTGGTACGTGTGATTAGGAGAACTTTCTAATCATTGCATATGCAAATCGGAATGCTGTCAGGGTTGTAGATCTAAGGTATACATTAACATAAAGAGAACCTTTGACAAATAACAAATTAAAAACAAACAAACAGTGTGTGGCAGCCGGCACCTGCATTCCTCCTGGGGAAGAAATCGTCTTTGAAAAGAGCCGCGATAAGCTTCCGAGTTTCAAGACAATGTCATACACGTAGATGACACAGCTTCACTATAAAAATAGGCCTGAACCGTGTTAGCACATTTCTCCATAAAGATTCCTCTCTGTGGCTGGAGGTGTCATTTTCTTCAATGAC